CTAATTCTTGTTTAGCCATTCATATGTATAATTATTTTTATCGTCATTATGTCGTATGCTGTTTATTACAGAAAAACAAAGGGATGGATTCAAAAAATTAATGGAACGACGATGAATGGCTTCCAAAAATGTTTTAAAAGAGAACGAACAAGTTTGGGAATTTCTGGTTTAAATCTGTAATGTGGAATAAAAGTCTATATGTGGTTTATTTGAAGTTAAACCTCCTCTTACAAGGGACCTTTCAAAATGTTCTGTTCGAAATGCGCTCTGATTTTTGTCTATTGAAAGATATTCACCATTTATATGTGCTGGGAAAATATTAGATGCCGTACACGTAAGCTTCCGCGGCTCATTACCATAAATTCTTGGCTATCCGAGATACGCCGCGTCGTTGGCTGGGAGGCCACGTTTCGCCTGACATGTCGCCGGCTTCCTCAGGGCAGTTCACTGCTTGCGTCACGTCGACCTCCCAGCCAACGACGCGGCGTCTGGCAGATAGCCGAGAATTTAATATTAGCTGTCGTCAAACACTGAAAGTTACCGCGGAAAAAATGAAAGAAAAAAGGTGTTTTGGCCACTGTGTTTTTGGTAACACCTTAGACAACCATTTCTACAACAACCGACTCACGTATTGCTCGCTAGGATCCCTATTGCTGTCATTGCTTGCTAGGATCTCTACTTAACGGTTATGTCTGACATTTCGCTGAGACGAAAAAACTGTATTGCATTTCGGGGGCATTTTGTCCCGGTATACTAAATCTGTGGATTATATTTTTTTATTCGTCAGTTAGTTACTAGGGATGAATTCCAGTTAGTACGACAATCGATCATATCTAATACGATCATATCTAATCACGATTAATAAACACAATTAAATCGATTAATTTTAGGCTGAGTAACCCATACATCAATTAACAATTACGATTATAAACGATCTTTTCAATTAAACTTTATTTTTTAAATTTCAAATATATTTAGATTTTATTTAAAAAATGCTGCCATTTCGTGAAAAATCAAGCTTCAAAATCAGCACCAAGTGTCAATGCGGCGTTTTCGTCAGGCGGCTTTGAGCAAAGCCGATGATTTGCTCGTTGATTATAATAATAAAATCCAAAAAACATTGGCTACCGATTTGCTCAGAGCCGTCATGTCGAAGGCAACAACGACAGACACAAGTACTGGTTTTCGAGCTAATTCAGCGCGGTGACATCAGGGATAATAAAGATTAGTGGAGAAGATAGAGATTTCTTCCTCAATTCTATCTACACCTCAATATTAGATCGTTAGATCGTTTTATGTATATTTTTCTAATAGTTATTTACGCACCAATGACGCTTAAATGTGCATAAGGGTTATAATGATGAATCGACGATAAAAACCCCGAGGGTCTTTGGCCCGATCTTAACTAATTTTTCACTTTTAATCACTTCGGCCTGAAGAATGTTCAATTCATTATTGAAGTTTTTTTTTCATTTTGGTATATTTTTCATTTAAAATAAAATATCAACCACGTGAAATCGTTGTGCTCAAAATGGCGGTCCCAATGAAATTCGTTAAAAAAAAGCGCGTCAATAAATCGGTGTTAAATAGTCGATGTTTTAATAGAAGCATCCATGATTTGAAATCGATTGACATCGATGTTGCATCCCTGGTTGTTCGCGAGACGACGCGGAATGGAAAGGTCATTGACTACTGAAACGATTCAGTAGCAGAACGGTGGGAAAACGCGGGCGGTGAAATGGTTTCGAAGACATTTCTGATTATTCACTACCTGTTTAATTGTGAACCTTTACAGCAGGGATCTTCTACGACCCTCGGATCTGATACCCTGCGAGATTTCATCCAGCCCGTGTTACTTCGAGACTAGGTTTTTCAGTAGGAGGCGGTGGAATAACATCACATGTGCCGATGCTGAATAGACTGAGAGAATGGAAGGATTTGGATTAGGGTGCTGTGAATACAGTGCCGGCCTAAGGAGAATGAATGTTTAAAGGGCGAGTCGGAGTTAGTTAAGCTTTCGCTATTTCGATTTTTTTTTGAGGGGGGGGTGAGATGGTCTTTATAAAGGCAAGAAAGTATAGTTTTTACTCGCACATTTTTCTATTTTTATATGAAAGAATTGTGCTTTACACAAGCTCTGTTTTATTGCTTCCAAAATGTATGATGAATAGAATGCTGAAACTTTTAAGGACAACTATTTATGTATTTATATTTATATTGATACATTCTCTGTAATACAAGTGTCCGAGGCCAGGTAGGAGAAAACAGCGACATTATAATCTAAGAGGTCTAAACAACACATTTCGCCCACACTTTTTTAAGAAATCTCGTTAGGAAGATATCGGCCTGGTTGACTATCAGGCGGCCCGCTAGCCGCTTGCGGCCCGCAAAGTGTTATTAGTCAAACGTGAATGTCCCTTGCATCCATGTCGGGCGAGAACATCGTGTCTAGCGCATGCGCACTCTCGAGATCAATACCCCCTTAATGTAAAAAAAGGTTAAGTTTAGATTTAAAGACTTTTCTCGAAAATTTAGAAATTCAAAATTATCCCAATGTGTTTCACTGCGTTATGGTGTGGCCTAATATCACGCATGGTTCCACCCCCCTTTAAGAGCAGCCGGAATACTGCCGTGATTAACAATATGGGGTTACGTGTGGATCGTCCAAGTAAAGAAAATATGGCCCGCAACCATATAAAAGGTTTTAGTTGTGGCCCTTGAGGCCTTACAAGTTGGACACCCTTAATGAAGGCAATTATTTACATGCTTCATTGTATCCGCCTGCACTCCAGTCTTTCTTCTTAAATGCTTTTAACAACTTCGAATGTCACGCTGATGCTCCATGTGCTGCTGCCGCAAGGTCGCGGATCCTAGAGCATTCACTCCAACTACTAAACGAAATCCTGCTACTATGCACACAGAAAAGTATTGCTGGCGTCACACTGATGAGTAATTACATGGAATCACATCGAAAATATAGGAACGTAAGGCTTCCAATGCAAATATGCAGACAAGTTGTGTTGACTGGCTGGGATACGAAAGAAATCAACAGATTTTCGCATATATCATAGGAATACTGCTTTCATTTGAGCCATGAACTTCAGTTATTTTCCGTACTAAAAATTCAATGCATACTGTAGCCGTGTAATTGTGTATCTTTTTGATGAGTTAACATGTGTTTCGTTTTCACAAACCCATAAGGTGAAAGAATCAATAATTTTGTTTTTCGTTTTGAATTTCACATAATGACTTTTCAAATTTAAATGATAGTAAACTAATTCTATGATATGAAACTGGGAAGTATTAGGCCACATCAACTAACCAAGACAAATAAAATGTATAGATAATGTAGTAACTAAAAAATATCAATTCCTTATTGATCCTAAGTATTCACAATGATCATTTTGATTTATTCCCATATCCTGTAATAATATTTTCCTTTCCCATCTGCACAATACCACGACCTTTGTAATAAACTTTCATTTAGTTTAAATTATTTTCACCTTTGTGGACGCAACATAGACAACACGGAACGAGTGTGGATCGCAGTTTCGCTAAGAAAGATAATGTCAGGAAAGTCGTTGACTAAGGGATCCTGAGAACATTTCTTTACATGTCACTCGCGCTTTCCCTGCGTAGTTACGAATATAGGTTTTGCGAGGTAAATTCTAGAAGGGACTTTTTGTGGAAGTGCCATCAATATTATATATAACACATACTCGATTGTCGACTAATCAAATTAACTGTTTGCTTTGCTATTCTCAACATGTTTCTGTTTATTCTCCTCTGGTCTGGGATATCTATATACATAATTTTTAGAAATATTAAGATAAATAGGACTAGAAAAGTGTGTTAAAAACAATATCATTTTATAAAATGTATGAAGCAAATATAACATTACAAAACGACTAGTTTACCTTAGACACAATTAGAAAATTTTCTTTAATGCTTCTTTTAACAGGGGGTTGACATCCCCCAGCGGCTATCCTTAATTAGGCACCTCATTTTTAGGGGACGACGATTGATATTAAAAAACTGATCATACGTATCAAAAATGTGAAAAGAAATAAGATTTGGAAATCGTAAAATTAGTATTATAGTATTTGATAATATACATGAATTAATATATATTTTGTTTAAAACTTATTTAGGGCTTCTATCCAGCGGGTCCCTAATCACGGTTTGGGGTGCTTTGCTAGTGCTCTAATCCACCCCTGGCCGGTGCATTTCTTAAGACGTAAAGACGGGTATGAAGCGTGCGTAATAAAAAGGATTTGACAGAAGGCTTATACATCCGTGATGATTACGATATCTGCACCACGCCGAACTAAACTGTTGAGAAGTTGAGAAGCATGAAACGTGTTCTGTCGTACATAGTGTCACATCGAAGCGTCTATGAACACTCGTCCTTGACATATGCGTTGCCCGTACGTTAAACATTTTTGGAGGCTGTGACCCGAAGAGTCAGGCACGAGGCCCAGTTGGCCGCAGTCCATCATTTGTCCATCGTTAAGCGGACGGTCCCAAAAGGTTGAGAGGTGGGCCTGCATAACAAACGCCTGGATGTGAACATTGATATCGACGCATCACGCGGGCCACAGGAGGGCACTATATCGAGGTCTACGAGGAGGGTGTGGGGAGGTGTTTCTATTTCGGTGAACGGAAAGAATGCGCACGCGTGTGCGCGGCTCACACAGCGCCCGAGAGACGTGGGAGCAAGCGGCATGAACACGGCCGCTTCGCGCCATGGCCGGTTGGGAGAGAGGAGAGAGTTCCAGTACACGCTACGAGATGGCGCTCGGCACAGCAAGTGGTTTGCCCGTTTCTCGCTAGATCGCGCTGTGTATCCGAATCACGTCTCACCGGCGCGGCGTGGCGCGGCCCAGCGAGGTGTGGGGTGGGGGAAGCGGTCCTTGCCGCCGCGTGGGAAAGCGAGGCGAAACCGGACGAAGCGACGCGGGGCGAGCGCGGGCGGGCGAGCGAGCGAGCGAGCGCGCGGGATGAGAACGCCGGGCGAGAACGCGGGCGTAGCGGAGCGGCGTCTGCGGGCCGGCATTGTAGCTCCAGCGCGGGGAGAGGGGAGCGGAGAAGAGCAGTATGTGCCCTTCATGTTTCGAGCAGCGGGCGACCGCGACCGCGCCCGCGTCCGCACTTGCGCCACGCCGCGCCTCGCGGTAGCGGGTCGATATCATCCCTTCAGCCGAGCCGATACACGAGGGCGTTGACCTCAACCCACCCTTCGACCGCTTTCGAAGGGCTGACGTTTCCACCCCCTTATCCTGTCGAACTGCGCCGTTCTCTCCTGCTTGCTTAGATGCATTCTAAATAAAAAGCATGGAAACGTATTGTGGCGGGAAAATGCTTACTTTCAATTCCTGGCCTTACATGTAACATCGATGGAAGTTTGCTGCACCTCAGGTAGGAAAAGTAGGTCGTGTTATCAATGGAGGAAATACAGGCTCCCCACAAATGAAGTTACCGCTTCCATAACAAGATTATCTCTTGGCTCTGGACGAGCTCAATACTTCGATAAGCACAATATGATGATGCTTAAACTGCAAAGAGAGGTCTCTCGTCATAAAACATCCCATACAACTCTTGTCCTTCGCGTCATGTATGTCCCAATAACTATTTTGAACAATTTACGTTTTCTTGCTTATTGATGATCCACTTCATTACATCAGACGAGTAAGTTTTGATGAACAAGTTTTGAAACGTCCTGTACGTCAACTTTGCCTTTCTGCCGCTAGATAGCGCAGCGTGTACAAGAGCTCAGTCGAAAGGCAGACATGGCGGAGGAGGGATTTGGTTGGTGCGACTCACAAGACTGGCAATGAGATCGAAAATTACGTGTTTCATGATTTTATGACTATGATTTAAGACTTGTGACGTGCAATCCGCACACGTTACGGCCACATGTGCCTCACGAAAAGACTGCAACAGAAGACTGACGGCATAAAACAGCCTCCAAGCAACTAGCAAGACTGAGCAGGTAAGCTGTTGTTTGCTGTCAGCCCGAGGCGTGGCGAGTTTATTTCTGCTCTGCTGTTCGGTTTTGTGCCAAAGGAGGAATCCGAGAATGTCGTAGGTCTTAGTGTTCGTAGAAAGGCAGTATAACCGTATCGTAGCAATGGTCATGACCGATAGCTGTGTTGTGTTTATGTTTGGTGTTGGTAACAGCCACACCAGTTCCTCATCCTTGAACCAACCTACTTTTTCTCTTAAGTGCTGCATAAGAGCGTTATATAACATTACGCACAAGACTTGTATGTCCGGTGTTTGATAAATTGAGGCAGAGACATTACATTTTGTTGTTACTGTGCTGAGTGTAGTGTTCGTGTTTTGTGAAGATAGTGCTGTGTTGTGGATGACGAGGTATGCCTAATAATTTTTTTCTCTTTTTTCTTCGGTTCTTAACCAAGGTGTTATTTTGTGTTATGATCAGAGGCGAAATCAATCATTTGTGAAAATATCTATTTCATTAAATCAAGTGTTCTTGCGACAGATACATTATTCTAATGGTTCTGAAGGTCGCACGATTCCTGCGTGAAGAGTTTGCAGACATTCATTATAAATCAGGTTACGGATTCGTTTTAATTGACAATGCTTTATCGTTAATCTGCATATTTCCGAAGTTAAGTTATAGAGGCAAGACAGTTGCTGTTTTGTTGTCGCCTTCCACGTGTTGAGATCTGCCATACTGTATGTGGTTGAGTGGTCGATAAGCCGTCTTTTGCAAATTTTGATAACATTTTCAATCGTTAATTTTAATAATTTTAGACTTAATTTTTTACTGATGGAGTGCATAATCTTTCGAGAGCGCGCCTATTTTCAAGTCTTAGTGTAATGTTATTCGATACATGTCACGCTTGGCAGCCCTGCGAAGTTGTAGATTGAGGCATTGTGTCGAGGTCGTTTAATTTTTCACATTCCTCGTATAGCATGTCTTAACTGCGTTTATATGTAACGTTTCCTATAACCTGATTCTATTATGACCGATATATGTAATTGTCACTGAATTTATATTCATTCTGATGTTTTTGTGCTCCTCACATTTTTTGGGTATGATGTAATGATTGCCATCAGATTCACTTTTCTTAATAGCACCACCATTGTGTTCATTGATAATATAATTACTTATGCCATGTAAATATAATATCACAATAGAATTTAGAGACGTTTGTCATTGTGGTTCGTATGTTCTCGTGTATTTAAACGCCAATCGCTATTCTTTGCCTACATTGGATTCATCTCCATTTCAGATTTGTCCTGAGTTTTTCAAGGCCTTGCATTAACGATTAGATATAAAGATGATGCAAGGCTATTATCATTTCACGTAAACAGACAACACAAGGGCCTCACCATTCAATATATTAACCATTTCCCTGCTGAAGCTACACGGTTTCCAAAACAGTTAACGGACTTCGTGAATATCCAACGACAATGTTCCAATTTCGTGGTTTCTTATAGTTTTCTTTCTGCTTTTGACACGGTTCGTTGATCTTTAAATACCAAACACATGTTGTTAGTTTACGAAACCAGCTTAGAGAAAAATTAATTAGTATTGAAATTTGAATTGGAACTAATTAAGTTTTTAATTGCGAAATGGAAGTTGTGTGTTCCAATGTGAACTGCTAAGAAATACGCTGTTTCGACGAGGATGACGGTCCTGATTTATAAAGTAAATAAAATGACAAAAATGGTAAGAAATCACCAGAAATATTACTTCGTCTCGCCGTGCATCTCGAAGTGCGAGCGTGCTCTTGGCGTGTCTCTCTCTCACGAGGGGAAGGGCCAACTCGAAAGAGTGACCGTGCGTGGTTGAACCTTCCAAATCGCGTCCACTTTCGCTTCGGCGTTTTTAAATAGCCTCGAGGGCCCGCGCTTGCGATGGCTGGCAGCGTGCAGGCTCGGCGCCTGTGCGAGCGCGGCCTTGCGTCCCGTTCGAGAATGGCGTTTGCGGGCGCCGGCGCCAGCAGGCACGCCCCTCCCCCTTCCCTCTCTATCACGGCTTTCCCCCGCCCCTTCCCGGCTCATCCCCGACCCTTCCCGGCTCTTCCGAACCATTTCCCCGCTCATCCCCGCCCCTTGTCGTTTCTTCCTTGACCCTTCCCGGCTCATCCTCGCTCCTTTTCGGCTATTCCTTGACCCTTCCAGCCATTTTCCCACCACTTCTCGACTCTTCTCCTATTCCCGATTCTTTCCCGCCCGTTCCCTGTTCTTCCACGCCCCTTTCCAGCTCTTCCCCGCCTCTTCCCGGCTC